AAATAAATCTTTAAAAACAAAACCTGGGTAAATAAAATCTTTTAAAAGTTTTCATCAACATAGGAATATAGGGAGAGAGAGAGACATCGAAACAGCCTAAAACAGTGATTGACACATAATTGGTGCTCAAGAAATATTTGATAAATGAAAGAATTACTTATGAATTATATAAAGAGAGAATATTTTAAAATTAACAACATCATGTTAGTCATATTATGTTAGCTCTTCAATATGTTTTATGAACCGTTCCTTAAAAAAACCTATACTTTATAAGAGACATGTGTTTATTTGCTCTGTATTCCTGGTAACAGAGACTCCATTTGGGCTATAAGCCAACAATTAGAAAGCCCCCTTTACTCACCCTTTGGTGTGGAGACAGCTTCCTACATGCGGCTTTCTAAAGAAGTTTTAAACTCAAAATCACTGTATATGCTGTACATACTTACACAGTGGCTCAGTTTCTGCCTGAGACTGTAAAAGTCTTCCACAAAGTTTATTTCCTTGCAAACTTGTAACTGGAGTTGACCAAAAACATCTTCCATGAAGAAGGATAGAAGCTGTTCTTGGAATCTGCAGTTTTTCTATTAAAAACAATATAAGAAATTGCACAAGGTAAAGCATGAATAGCCTTTGTAAGATGTCACTGAAACACCCCCGTGATTATTTCTTAATAACCATCTGGAAAAAATTAAATGCAGGGAAAAGAGCATAAAACAAGCAGAAGCATGAAAAAGAAAAAAACCCTCTGGCTTACCATAAATAGCTTTTGTGTTTTCTTTTTTAATAATCGTATACTTTTAATACGATCTTCCTACAATAAAGAGAGAAAAATAAGTTTTTCAGAATTACAACTATCCTTTGGATCATCATCTGAGCAGAGCCTGATACTTACTGGGATTGTTGCTTTGAGCCACGCTGCCTTGACATAGAGTGAATCAACAGCCTGGGACAGCATTCCCCTTGGATAACAACCTTTGATGAAGGAAGATTGCTTGTGCTTGGCAGTGGCAAGAGACAGAGTGACAAAGAGCAATCCAGACTTCAGAATGTAATTCACCCACATCTCCCTCCACCCCAGCCTGGGCTTGTGTCACTTAGAGCAGCCAGACAGTTACTCCCGTAGGTTAGATGAGTGGTTAACCTACTTTAGCCCTCAAGGTCGTCTCTCCAATGAGATGTGTGAATGATAGCTTACAGTTTATATAGAGGTTGTTCTATTTTTTTTTAGAACTTGCTTCATAATAAAAAAATGTTGACTACGCTGTCTGTGACTTTAAGTAAAAACTGCATTTTACTGGTAAGGTCAAAGGCCATTTTCCAAACCCCCCCACCTCCCCAAAAAATCACAACTTTAGTTGCATAGAATAACAAATTTCATATTTCAAAAGTCCTATCAGGCCAATAAAGATCCTGACCTCCGGAAGCTGAGTGATTATTTTTTAATTCCCATATAAAAAATAAAATCTGCGTTTCTAACCAGGATCCCAGAAAATCTCACCAAAGTATAGAATAAGTAGCTTACTAAAGCCTGGTCATAACCTTGATCTTGACGGATTTTACCTCTTGCCTGATCCTTCCTATCACTTCCTCTTCCCTCAGAAGCCATCATTCTGCAGCCAGGATTGAAAGCCAAGAGAAAAGCTTTCTAATTATTCTCCAGATTTTTTTTTCAGTTCAGAAATTGTAATTGCCCTAACTATTCAAAATTTGTTTGGACCTGGGTCTAGGGTTAAGGCCTTCAGTTTAGTAGATGCTTTATCATCTCTATCCCAGTGGACCACCTAGATTTTCTCTCTGTGTGTAGATTTCCAGTGTTATAAAGTCCTCATGTAAAAGGACATTATCTTTTCATCTTCAAATCCTCAACATCTATCACAGTGCCTCATCTAAAGAAATATATTCAGGGGCCTCTCTGGTGGCACAAAAAGTTAAGTTTTTTAATAGCTTCAAGAGAAGCTGTCAGCAGCCACTGCAGCATGAGTTCAAACCCCAGCCAGGGAGCTGACCCCCATGGCACAGAAGACCTCTCCTGTCTCACCCACAATTCCCCTTAGCAGTGTATTTCAGTAGATCTGCCTGTTCTGCTCTCCACTCTATCTCTGGTGAATCCTTTCACCCTCCCCCACCCCGTAAATCTAGCCTACACCCCAGCTCTTATATGCATAATTAAATAAATCTTTTTTTAATTTAAAAGTATATACAATTTTCTTGAAGAAACACGTCCCTTTCCACATCATAAAATGCTACTATAACTGCTTTGATTTTTCATTAATTCCACTGGTAAATTTGTAGCAAGTATCTACCTATACAAACAATAGTTCTAGATGCTAAAGGACTGCAAAGGTAGATGCACCATGGATGCCCACTGTCAAATATGCCCCAGTTCTTTCTTTGGTAGTAAGTATGATTTAATTTTCACTAGCATATAAAATATGAGCATAGCCCTGGATCATACACTGAGAGGCAGTGACAGGTTATCAAATCAAGCATGAGTAGACTTAATGTAGCAACTGCAGGTCAACACTAGGAATCTGTCATAAGAGATTCATCAAATGTTAGCAAAGTAGATATCAGGTATCACTATCCGCAACTAACTTCTAAATCTAAGCAAACAGAGAGGAAAAGGAGAAAGTGCAAAGTATAAAGTGAAAGATGTGACACAGGGCAGCAAGGGGCATTATTGGTGACCAAGGACACAGCCCAAATGGTTTCCTGGCCACTATCTGAGTTCTTCACCCACGTGCACAATAGCAACACTACTCAGGCTCAGGGACCAATGGGATTTATTTAACAAACTGGGGGAAAATAAAGCACTGCTAAGACCAAAAATGGCCATTTACCACATTCAAAGCAGTGTCTAGTGTTTTTCAGTCCTAACTAAAAGCAGTTAAGATGGCAACTTCCTGCCACTGAGGACACGGAGCTCCTCTCCCAAACAATATGTCACCTGTCCAAATGGCGTCTTTCTGCCTCTGCTGACTTGGAGAACATGGCAGCCAGACTCTAGGTCAGGTTCCAACTCATGAAGACAACAGAAGATACAGCAGGAGATGTTCCCAAAGCTGCCAGCAGCCCAGACAAGCAACACTCAAAACAGCAGCTACAGCAACTGAACAAGCTGACATATGGCCACACTCATGCAGCTCAGTGGAGCACCCAGCTCTGGCTCCAGGTCTTAGCTTCTCTGTAACAGCAGTAAAAACAGGAAGAGTTTCAGTCCCTCAGCTACTTGCAAAGCTTCCAGATGTTTTTTCTCTGAAGTTGGTTGCTGGAGGTCTCTCCAGAGGCCCACAACAGCCCTCTGAAGATCGACAAGATGGGAGCTGAAACTTACTGATCCCAAATGCTGAAGATCGGAAAACTGCTGAATCCCAAGACTGAATAAGTAAATACCGCCTTCTGCGGCCCCTTGTAATACTTGCTGGTCACTGCACCCCCAAAATGTGCTCCTTGTTAGCATTTCCCCTGGGCTATCTATCCTCACCAACAACCCTGTCCAGGAAGCAACAAGTCTTTTGACTTCAGCCACCTGTTACAGAGGCAAACACCTGGGATTGTTTCAAAAAGTGAATGGATCTCTTTCAAGAACCCAAGCCTCATATCCACTAAAGCAACTCTGCTGGTGAAAGACACACTGTGACATGAGATGAGAACTACTCACAAAAGCTACAACAGAAGACAGCAATTGGGAGTGCAACTGGAGGTTTAATGAAAGTTTATAAAAATTCAAGAAAAGCAAGAATTACTTTAAGTTGTGAGTGGACATGAAATATCTACAACATTCTTTCAGCCTACTATTCAAAATTCCTTTGAGACAAAAATAATGAGAGGCCAGCAATCTCAAATGCTTTCAAAGGGCATAAAATTAACATAAAACCCCAGAGTGGATGAACACAGGACCATCAAAACTCCTCCTAACCTAAAACCTGTATAATGAAAACCTATTAACAAACTGTGGGTGCAATAAGAAGGTCACATAGTATGACCTGGAGCCATATGCTGCTTGAAGTAGTTAATTTTGGACCCCTAATGCACGTGAACAAAACTTACATGAAACCCAAATTTGTTAATATTGATAAATGAAATCAATGTGAGTTCTGATTTTATTTATTTATTTATTTATATTTTACACCTTTTTCATTTTTGTTACAATGTTTGCTTTCTTTTCTCAGGTGTAGTCCCCACTGAATTTCCTCCACCGGTTCACCCGTGCACCATCACCACAGTCCCTGTGTTCTTCCCACCCTTATTTTAATCCCTCTCCCTTCCCCTCCCCTACAGAATATCTCTGATTTATAGTTGTCTATTTTTGTTTTGTTTTGTTATGGTTGTTGTTAATTTTCCTTAATGTCTTATTTGGTTCCCCTATATTCCTCCCATAAGTGAAACCATCCAATATTTTTCATTTTGAATCTTTGGTAGCTGCATTTCCTTAAGTGACTTATACCACTCAAGTCATCATGACTTGATGACTCGATGACTGTGGGCCTCTGCAGGGCCCATGGTCAACTCAAGGAAACTATGGTCATTTCCTTATGACTGAAACTCTATCCTGATACTGACCATAGTCTTCTAACTTTTTACTCAGCAAACCTGCCTTTAAACAACCCAATCTGAACTCCAAGATGAAGTCATCAATATAAATAATACTGAAAATACAGATCTGAAGACAATTCCAAAGGGAATTTCCAAAAATGTCCTAAATAACACAAAAACCTTTAAAATGAGCAATAAAATCCTTGGAATATCCATTTGAAAGACAAATGGATCTACTCCTCTGGTTCTGTTTATTTCATCACTTTCACAAGCTCCTTATATAAACTCTGTAAAATTTGTTATTAATTATTGGGAGATTTGGTATTGAAACTCAGATCCTAATGAACAGCCATAAACCAGAGACATTTTGTGGGGGTGGAGTGGGGAATGGGATCAAAAATGGGGGGAGGGGGAGAAGTGCATGGGACTATGATGATGGCACATGGGTGACTCGGTGCTGGGAAACCCACAGGGATTACAATTGAGATGAAAAAAACAAATGTGCAAAATGATGTAAAAATAAATTGTTATATTATTAAAAAATAATAATAAAAAAATTGAAAAAAAAACTCAGATCCACAACTCACTAGTTGTATGGCCTTGGGAAAGTTATTAATACTAATCCTCTTTAGGCTTCAATTTTTCTCATCATTATAATGGGTCACTAATTATATCTGCTTCAGGATATAGTCATGAGCAAAAACCCAGGGATCTGACTATTTTCCAAATAGTTAGCGTATCTCTGTCTATTCAAGTGTTATTTCTAAAAATCCCATAGACTGGGTAACTTATAAACAACAGAAATGTATTTCTCGTTTTTCTGGAAACTGGAAAGCACAAGACTAATAAACTGCCATGATCACCTTCTGGTAAGGAGTGTCCTTGGGCTTACCCACTCCCAGCCTCCAGCCTCTCACTGTGTCTTCACGTGGTCCCAGGGCCAAAGGAGCTCTGGGGGGGAGGGCGGGGCTCTTTAATAAAGGCACTAATCTTATTCATCACCTTATCACCCACAAAGGCACTCAGCTCATGATACCACCGCCTTCAGGTCTAGGTTTCAACACATGAATTTAGGGAAAAGAAATCACAAACATTCAGACCAGGGCAAAATCCATGTGTAATGCTTTAAATAATGTTAAAGTTCATCAAAAGACTTCAGTAACTGAGAAATGACTGGAAAAAGTAAGAAAAGTGAATGATGAATAATAATTGCACAATATTTCAAAAGGTGTATGAAAGGGCCTCCCTGGTGGTAAAAGGGATAAAAGTGCAGCACTATGAAGCTATCAACAGCCACTGCAGCACGAGTTTGATCCCAGGCCAGCGAGGTGACTTGCATGGCACAGCAGACCTCTCCAGTCTCACCCATTGCCCCCCTCATCAGTGTATTTCAGTCAGTCTTCCTGTTCTGCTCCCTACCCTGTCTCTGGTGAACTTTCTCAGCCCCTGCACCTCTGGCCTGTACCCAAGTTCTTGAATGCATAAATAAATAATTTTTTTTTTTACAAGAAGTGTGTGGATAGAAAT